TTGAACCTCATTATGTTGTAATCAAGTGAGCATATTGCATTCATATTTTCTTAACAAGTCTTTAGAAGAGCTTCATTTGGAAATTCTATCATAGAAAAGTTTTGATTGAAATTAAGATCCAAAATACTCTAATAAATTTTTAAAGGGTCATTGAATCCAATTCACCCCCCCTCTTGGATTGTGCCATTCTTTTCTAACAACTCTCACAGAGAGGATAAACTGATTTCTACACTCACTAAGATAAGCTATCTTAGTTTTACACGAATATTCAACTTTTTTACAAGAAGAGATGGGCGGAGGTGGGAGAGAGTAGGCCATCGGGGTTCATTGATGGAATTGGGACGTGGGACGGAGAACTTGCAGTGCAGGGCTCGCGCGCTGTGGGCTCCACCGTGGATTGGATAAAAGATAATGCACCCTTCACATTTGGACACAACATAAACGCATTAATAATTATTATTATTATAAATTTTATTGTCTTAAAAATTTATAAAAAAATATACTAATATTTGAATTGGTTTGTTAATATTAACATATTTTAATTTTTTAAAAGCCATAAATTTTTATAAAGACAAGTAAAATATATAAATTAATTTTAAATTTAAATATATTTTTAGTCTTGTAAAATAAATAAGTTTTGATTTTGATTCTTGTAAAAAAAATTATTTGTTTTTATTTTTCTTGATGTTTGAAATTATATTTATAATCTATACTATTATGTAATCTCTTTAACTATTTATTAGAGTTAAGTGTTCAGGACTATATTTAAAAAAGTAGAAATAACATCAATATCATACAAAAAAAAGTAGAAAATTTTAAAGTTCACTTAATTTGAAAAAATAATAAAAAATAAAAGTGAAATACAAAAAATGGATGATTATAGTCACAATTCACGATGAATTGATGAGTTAAGGAAGGTTTGTCATTAAGACTTTATAATTTCTTTTGATAAGAATCAAAATATTCTCAAAAACATTAAAAAAAAAAAGTTTCTTACACAAACTTATTTCATCTAGAAATTAGTCAAAACTAAGCATCAAGTCAGCAAAAGACTCTTTATATATTGGACCTAAGTGTACCAAGGTTAACTCCTAATAAGGTCAAAATTGATACAAAAGTCAAAAACTCAACAAAATATATTGAAATTTGTGGCACTCACGTAAGCCAACATAGAACACATAGGAACACTTTAAATGTTTTTTCTACAAATTTCCAACCACCATATATCAAAAGTGAGTTTTATGTGCCAAATCAAGGTCAAATCAATGCAATTATATTAACTATACTCGAAATACATCAAAACAAGAAATTATTCAACAAAAAAAAAAGTTAACAAGATTGATTTGAGAGGATCAAAGGTGAAAATTATGAACAACACAAAGGAGATTCAAACTTCAACTATTGAACCAAGTTTGGTGTCAAAAACAATTACAACCAAGGGTGAAACAAAATATGATGAAGAAGAAACAAAAAAGAAAAGTAAAACTCGTAAAATTTTATTTCAAACCTTTCTTTGATGTTGATTTAGACTTTTGATACCAAAACATATGTTTTCCCCATGGTTTGGATCCAAATCAATACCAAAAAGACACGAAATGAAAAATTAGAGAACTTAAATCACTCATTTTGGGAAAAATAAAATATAAAAGTGGAATATGAATAGAAGTAGAAGATTATCACCACAACTCTAAGAACATTAAAAAAGATCGCCACTAAAAATGTAAACATTTTTAAATTAAGAATCAAAGTACTCTCGAAAACATAAAAGGAAAGCATCTCACACAAATTGTGTTATATACAAATAAAAATCAAAATTAAATACCAAGTCAATAAAAGTCTATTTATACTTCGGACCCAAGTGTATAGGCCCAACTCTCAACAAGCTTAAAGTTGACCCAAAACTTATCAAGTCAATAAAATACGTTTAAATTGGCAGCACCCACATAGCTTAGCATAGGTATAGGGATGACAAGTAAACTTGTATTTATAGGTAATACTCGAATCTGTCATGACTTTAATGGAGAATACTCAATTTGACCGAAAAAAGGTACAAGTACAGGTAATACCCCATTTATTGAATCGAATATAGGGACAAGGATGAGTATATACATATTTGTCCCATACATGTCCTCGTACTTGTACTCACTTTCAGTTTCTATAAACTTAATTTTTTTTTAGAATTTACAGGACATTTACATAATTTTTACTCTATTTATATTCATATATTATTTATTTATTTATTTAGATAATAATTACCTTATCTTATTTATATAATAATTAACTAATTTTAATTAAGCATTATTTAATTTAATTTAAATAATAATTATTTTAATTTATTTAAATATTTATTATCATATTAATAATAAAATGAATAATCCTAAACACATTTAAATACATATCTAAAAATAATATTACTTATTATTATCATAATATATTAATTTTTAAAACTTTTAGTTCTTATTTTAAAACAATTCAATTTTTTAAAACATAAAAAAAATTAGTAATATACTTTATAAATTATTAAAAGTATTGTTAAGTCAAACGAAACAATTTTCAGAAAAGTTTTAGAAATGTTTTGAACATGACAAATATAATACATATTATTATTACTAATATGTGTAGTAGTG